CTCCCAAAAAACAAACTCACCCTAAGGGAAAAAAAAAAAAAAAAAAAAAAAAAAAACTAAAAAAAGAAGAAAAGAAAGACCTAACTATCGGGTAAGAAGAGGTGGTTGAAAGGAAGAAATTTCTCAATAATGATTTTAAAGGTTTGAAATAGTAACCACCTTATTCCATTCCACATCTGCCATCTCCCACCACATACATACCTTCACACATACTTACATACTTGCCTGCTTGTGGGAGACCACTTCTAATGTGGGATATGGTGAAGACTAAAAATCGGGGTTTTGAAAGAATTCCAACATCTCACACAATCTCCCCTTTTTATTGAAAAAGAAACCGAGGCCAGGGCCAGCCAGTGGTGTGGTGGCTAAGCTACTGGATCCCACTGGGCTGTGAGGTTTAAGTCTCAGACCCAGCAGCTTGAAATATAGAAACTGAGGCCCAGAGAAGGGCTTTGATTTGCTTGGAGGACGTCTATGAATAGGGCTGGAACTCCCTCCAGGTCTCCCGACTTATAGCAGAGGCCCCAAATCTTCAGATCTCTATGCCAGAGTGCCAGATCCCACATGGCCAGCCACAGTTCGAATCCCAGCCTGGAGCTTGAAAAACACACCAGATGCATATGTGTCCCAAATTCTTATGGAATGGAGAAATGGAAGAGAAGGGTTTGTGGAGTGACTACATCCCTCAGCCAACTCAAAGGGCTCTTGATAGCTCTGAGCCCCATATTCCCTATTGTGCCCTCCCTTCTGGACCTGAAGTACATTATTGGCCATGGAGTTGTGAGCCTAGAGAGGTTGGAAAGCTTGGTCTCAGGTCGGAAAGCTCCCTTCTATTAGGTCATCAGCCTAGGGCATAAAGAAAGGGGAAGCAGACCAGCCTGTCACAGCTTCTTTCCAAATCTGTACGAGGAAAGGGGCACAGGGGAGCCAGAGGGTCCCTTCAAGGCCACAGCATATTAAGGCTGGAAGGAATCTCAATGAGCATCTCATGTCTTTTCACCCCATCACATTATACAGATGAGAACAGCCCAGACAGTGAGGGACTTGCACAAAATCTCACAGGAAATCAGTGTTAAATCCTAGATGAGAAGTCCTGGTCCCATTACTACCAACTCTAAGCTCTCTCCTTGTTTCTAAGCCCTTTGGGCGGTTCAGATGCTTTCTAACTTTTAGTGAGGGTGAGAGGGTGACTAAAGAAAAGACTCATTAAGCATCCTAAAGAGCTTATGTCTCCTTTTCCTCTTCCTAGGGCCTTGCTCCAAAGACCTCATGGTCACAGGCCCTCCAGTCCCACAGGTGTCAAGGGCAGAAACAGGACTGTGTGAATACTCAGTCCTCTCTGCCCTTGCCTTCCAGGGAGCTTCCGTCTCTGTCCCCTGCCCCTGTTGGGCTGCTCATAGGTGGTCTGGGCAGAGGTGGAGAAGCTGGGAAGGTCTATGCTGATTACAGGTGGGTGGGAGGAGCCTCGGAGCAGGGAAGGCAAATACCTAATGCTATACTTGTTTTGATTTTTCGTTTTGTTTTTGTTTTTGTTTTTTGTTTTTTGACAGAGTGGGGATAGCTATTGTACAGGGAAGGGTAAGACTGCGAGCAGAGAGTTTGAAGTCGGATTGTTTCCTCATCATAGCACTGTGCTAGAGTGACTTAAGAGACAGCTCAGCTTTATTTGGTTCACACATTTATTAACACTTACTTACTGATGTTAATCAGTAGGGCCAGATCCTGTGTGAGAAATAGGGATACAGCAACAAAACAGACATGGCTGCTGCTCTCATAAGGACAACATACCAGTGGGGAAGACAGATGTTAAATAAGTGAACACATGTATGAAATAATGGCAACTTGTGATACTCAAACAGGGCAAGGGCTTAGCTAAAGAGTACTGTCCAGGAGATGGGGAGAATGGAAGGCCTCGCTGAGGAAGGGCAGCTGTAGCTGAGCCCTGAGGAACAGACAAACCAGCATGTGAGAAGTAGTAAACCATACACAGTAGGAACAAGCTCCTCAGGTGGAAGAGGAAGTGGCACGTTCAGGGAACTCACAAGGACAGCAGGGCTGCATAGGTGATCAAGGAGAAAAGACAGGTGGAAAGATGGGGAGGGGGGACCAGCAGTTGGCACAATGGCTATGTTGCTGGACTCCCATGTAGTCAACCATGGTTCGCGTCCTGGACCCGGTGGCTTAAACTCACGCCAGGCGCGTGTGCATGTGTGCCCAAGATCCTGAGAGGAGAATGGAGGAGAAGGGATTGTGGCGTGGCCATCCCCCTGGGGGGTGATTTCTCGCTTTGTCTCTCTGTCTCTCTCTGTCTTTCTGGAAAGCGCATGTGCCCTATAGCAAAAACCTAAAAAACAAAAACAAACAAACAAAATAAAGAAAAAAAGAAAGAAAAGAAAGAAAGGAAGGAAGGAAAGAAGGAAGATGGAGAGTGGTGGCAGCTCCCACAGGTTCAGGGTAAAGTTTAGATTTTATGGCAACGACTTCCTTGTGTAAACAGGGAGAGGTATGACACAATCAACACTTTAGGAAGGTCCCTTTGCTGCTGATAGGGAATAGACTGGAGGGGACAAGGTGGAGGTAGGGGACCACTGAGTGCTGGTACAGTCATCCATGTGAGAGATGACAGTGGTCTAAACCAGGTGGTGGCTGTGGAGGTGGAAGGGGGAGAGTGAAGCCACCATCTGTTTGGGAGGTAGAGGGGTCAGGCTCTGCTGAAGAGTGATGTACCGGGGTGAGGAGAGGGCAGGGTCGAGGGTGACAAAGGGAACTCAACATGGGAACGGTCCAGGAAATCCGTACTAAGTTTGTAGCCTGGGATCTCTTGGAGTATTTGAGCAGCTGGTTGAGTCGGGCTGTATTGGCCTCTATCTCAAGGGAAAAAATATGTAAATAAACTTAAACCAAAAAAAGATAACAGGGCCAGCAGGTGGTATCGTAGCTAAGGGCACTGGACTCCCTCAAGGCCAACCGGGGTTTGAGTCCTGGACCTAGCAGCTTGCTTTCTCACTTTTCTCTCTTTCTCACTTTGTCCCTCTTTGGCCAAATTAAAATAAATAAAGTTAAATAAAATAATTATAAAAAATAACTTAGTTTATTGAGGTGAACACCTGGGTACTTCTACACTGACCTCCCTTGAAAGAGAAAAATCACCTCCTCTTCCAGGCTCTAGGGAAGAAGCAAAAGCTACTGAGGGATGGGAACTGAAAAGAGAAGGAAGAAACAAAAGGGCTGGGGGGCAAAAGCCCCAGGACAAATAAGGCTCTTTTCTACCGACAAGCACAGGCCAGCCTCACAGCAACACAGGCATGCCCAGGGCCCTTCAAAGAAACACAGAACCTTGCTGCTGCCAGGAAGTAGGGGGTCAGGGAGTCCCTCCAGGACTTTCCTTCCACTTTACACAGGTGGGCATTGAGGCACAGGGCAAGGGGACAGCCTTACAGCTGATCAATCACCCTTCTTTCATACAGTGTCATTTAAAAATGCACATAACCAGTGCCAGCAGGGGGTGTGAAGTTAAAGAGCTGGACTCCCACATGGCCAATGGCAGTTTGAACCCTGGACCTGGCAGCTAGCTTTCTCACTTTCCCTATCTCTTCTTGGTTGAGCACATGTGCCCTATAGTTTAAAAATAAAATTAAATAATTTTTAGAGGTTTTTGCCTTAGGGTGTGTGTACTCTCCAGAGAAAGAGACAGTGAGAGGAAAAGTAAGAAACCACACCACTCCCCCCCACACCCCTCTGCACTGCAATCCATTCTCCTCCTGGGATCTTGGGCACACATGCACACACGCACACCCACCTGGCATGAGTTTCAAGCCACCTGTCCAGGACTGGAACTGCGGTTGGTTGTGGGAGTCCAGCGATGCATCATCTGGTAGCCCTTAAATAATTCTTAAAAAAAAAAAAAAGTTTTGACCAGCAGTTGGCATAATGGCTAAATTGCTGGACTCCCACGTAGTCAACTGTGGTTCGCATCCAAAACTCACGCAGGGCGCGTGTGCGTGCGTGCCCAAGATCCTGAGAGGAGAATGGAGGAGAAGGGATTGCTGCGTGACCATCCCCTCTGGGGGGTGATTTCTCGCTTTCTGTTTCTGTCTCTCTGTCTGGCGAGTGCACACGCCCTATAGTGAAAATCTCTCCAAAAAAGGTTTTTTTAAAAAAACGCACCATAACCAGGATCTATCCTAAAAAGTTTTAGTGCTAGAATGAACAGTACATGGTTGCAGCCTGTGTGCGAGACCAAACTCCGTGCCGACGGCCTTGCTGTGACGCTGCATCCCCGACAAATGCCCAGGAAATCCATAGTAAGTTAGTGACCAGGAGGGCTTGCCCTCATCTCCGGACTCGGTCCACTGCTCTAGGCCCCTCTCACCCTGGGGTACTTCCTCTTTGCCCTTGATGGTCCGGTGCTCAGCCCCCAGCGACCCAGCTGAGTGATCACGCTCTCCAGGGACTTGGAATGACCTAAGCGTGAGCTTGAAAAGGGCAAGGCAGGCGCTGCCGCACCTCCGGTCACGTGACAGGGCCCCGCCCCCGGACTCCGACTCCGTCACGTGACCGCGGAACCTGCAAGCGTTTTTCTCACGTGACGGAGGCGCCTGTGCGTGAACCTATAAGGGGGTAAGGGCGGGGCTGGCCAGGGGTGGTGCGCGGGAAGGCAGTTCGGGGTGTCTGCCGAGACCGGGGGAAATCGGTGCAGGCCCGCCCCCAGTCTGTGCCGGGTCGGAAACTAGCTCGGGTTTGGGGCTGAGGACAGCATGAAGTGCCTGGTCACTGGTGGCAACGTGAAGGGTGAGTTTGGGTCGGCCTGGCGGCGGGGACACGTGAGACGCCCGAGGCGCCATCCTAACCCGTTTTCTGCTCTCCTTCCCACAGTGCTCGGCAAGGCCGTCCACTCCCTGTCCCGTATTGGGGACGAGCTCTACCTGGAACCTTTGGAGGATGGGGTGAGGGGCTGGGTATGAGGGTGGGTGGGAACCCGTGACCTGGACTCGGGTCTCACCCCCCACCCCATGGCAGGATGACTCCGGGTAGATTTGTCTGCCGTTTCTTTTCCCTTTCTGGTTGTTGAGGTGTCCGCTTGCGTCCTGAAATCTTCCCAGGCCGATGTGTGAATGGGGTTTGTTGCTTTCCCTGGAGCTTCCAATGTCAGGGCAGGAGCGATGTAGAACTAAACAAGAGGAAGGGGAGGGATAGGGCAGGCGAGCCTGGGCTGTAGGAACAGAGCTGAGGCAGACTTGGAAAGCTAGATGGAGAAGGGGCTGGCTGACTCCCCTCCAACAAGGCAGGGGGGACTTTCCGGCCAGTATGCCAAGGAAAGCAGTCCAGAGGACTGGGCCTGCCACTGCCCCCTGACCATGGCCCCCTTCTTGCCTTTCCTGACCCAGCTCTCACTCCGGACTGTGAATTCCTCCCGCTCTGCCTATGCCTGCTTCCTCTTTGCCCCACTCTTCTTCCACCAGTACCAGGCGGCTACCCCTGGGCAGGACCTGCTGCGCTGTAAGATCCTGATGAAGGTGAGCACCTGTCCACCACGGTATTGCCCCATCCTAGCAACTTCTGCCAGCTAGGATTCTGTTCTGGGGACCCAGTAGCTGCAGCCAAGGTGAGAGATGTATGAGGGTTGCAGTGAGGGGCATAGTATAGACATGCTCAGAGGGCAGCGGGGACTGTGGAGAGGGCAGTTTCTTCCAGGGACATTCACCGTGGTCAGGAAAAGTAGACAGGTCCTCTACGGCATTTTGGGCCGAGGTGGCAGCGTGAACAAGGCCAGGAAGTGTGCAGATATTCCAAATGTGAGAGCACTGTTCCCAGAGTACATGCTTGGCCCATGATGGCCCTACATGGGACCTGAGAGCGGGTCAGCGGAGGCACAGTGTTGGGCTAATGTGTCTTTCAACACTCAGTCCTTCCTGTCCGTCTTCCGTTCACTGGCAATGCTAGAGAAGACTGTGGAAAAATGCTGCATCTCCCTGAATGGCAAGAACAGCCGCCTGGTGATCCAGCTATACTGCAAGTATGGTGAGTAACTGGCTAGCCAAGGGGTCCCCCCTAGGGGGTGGGGGTAAGGTCGGTGAGACCCACTGAGATCCTGTCTGCCCATCCAGGGGTGAGGAAGACTCACAACCTGTCCTTCCAGGACTGCGAGTCCCTGCAGGCTATCTTCGACCCAGCCGTATGCCCCCATGTGCTGCGCGCCCCTGCACGGTGAGCATACATACCCCTCCCTCAGGTTCAATCCTTTGTCCCTTTTTTTTTCTTTGGGGCCTCAAGGGTCAATTTAACAAGGCACCTGGGACTGATTCTATAGTGTAGTGGTTAAAGGAGCCAGATCTTACACTGCCCACAAGTCCTAGTTGTGACTGCTTGAAAAACACACCAGACACATGTGTGTATGTGGCCAAAATCCCAACAGGAGAGAGAAATGGAGGAAAGGGGATTTCAGTACAGTTGTGCTCCACTGGGGGTGCCTTATCTCCCTCTATCTCTGCCTCCCTATGGTGAGCTCACATATCCTCTGGTGAGCTCACATATCCTCTGGTGATTTAACAAAGGAAAATGGAGGCGGAGGCACCTCCATTTTCCCTCTATCCTGCAAGTATGGTGAGTAACTGGCTAGCCAAGGGGTCCCCCCTAGGGGGTGGGGGTAAGGTCGGTGAGACCCACTGAGATCCTGTCTGCCCATCCAGGGGTGAGGAAGACTCACAACCTGTCCTTCCAGGACTGCGAGTCCCTGCAGGCTATCTTCGACCCAGCCGTATGCCCCCATGTGCTGCGCGCCCCTGCACGGTGAGCATACATACCCCTCCCTCAGGTTCAATCCTTTGTCCCTTTTTTTTTCTTTGGGGCCTCAAGGGTCAATTTAACAAGGCACCTGGGACTGATTCTATAGTGTAGTGGTTAAAGGAGCCAGATCTTACACTGCCCACAAGTCCTAGTTGTGACTGCTTGAAAAACACACCAGACACATGTGTGTATGTGGCCAAAATCCCAACAGGAGAGAGAAATGGAGGAAAGGGGATTTCAGTACAGTTGTGCTCCACTGGGGGTGCCTTATCTCCCTCTATCTCTGCCTCCCTATGGTGAGCTCACATATCCTCTGGTGAGCTCACATATCCTCTGGTGATTTAACAAAGGAAAATGGAGGCGGAGGCACCTCCATTTTCCCTAC